CCCCCACACACACACACACACCTGCTTCATATTTAAACGCCTTTAAATAAAAACAGGAACAACGTGATCTCATTGTTTCACTTCTTTATTCACGAACAAGCATGCGTCGATGGACGATCATTCAAAGCATCAGTCTTTGGAAAACAGGATTTATTTCCACACTTTTTCTGTAGAGATTCAGCTCGCTCAATATTTTAGAATATTTACACACAGCAGGTCACAAAAACATGAAAATATAAATAAAAATATAACATTATGGTTTAACATGGAACTTAAACAACAGAAATGACCAATGAACCATGGATGAACACAAACACTAAACACAGCTAACACACACGCGCGCGCGCACACACGCACACACACGCACGCACACACAGGAATGTCCTGCGCTGACCCTAATATTTTAGGTTTGTTTTGACAGCATGTGTGTTTTTCCATGTTGAAACGACTTTACAGTAGCTTGGTCACCAAAAGACAAAAAATAAAATAAAACAAAACTTAGTCCAACACAGATAAACAAGAAAAGTGCACAACATGGCTGAAAACACACGCGTGTGACAGCAGTCCAGATGTCTGAGGACATCAGGTGTGTGAGGACAGCTGTCCAGATGTGTGAGGACAGCAGGTGTTTGAGGACAGCTGTCCAGATGTGTGAGGACAACAGTCCGGTGTTTCAGGACAGCAGGGAGTCTATGTGGAAGCCTCGCGCCTTGCTGGGCACCTTGAAGGTGGGCTCAGGTGCACGCATGCCCGGCTGCAGGTAAGAACTCCTGCCCGGTTCCGTCCTGCCGTACGCCGCCTCGGACCCGTACGCGTGCTGGAGCGGATAGTTCAGAGTGTAAGGCAGTATGTGGGCCCCTAGGGGCCAGTACACCTGGGGGTTGGGGTTGTCTGCGTCCGCGCGGCTGTCCTCCCTCCGCCTGAACGGGGTGCTGAGGATGCTGTCGATGGCAAAGGAGCTGGAGAACTTGGCCCCCACCCTGTCCTCCGGGGCGGACAAGCGGGTGTCCTCGCTCAGGATGTCCGGGCTCCCCAGCTCCTCTTTGGGGGACCTCTTGGTGATGCGCTTCCTCCTGCGGCGGAACACCCCATCAGCGAAGGTGTACTCGCTGTGCGGGTTCAGCATCCAGTAGTTGTCCTTCCCCCAGGGCCTGGACGGGTCCCGGAGCACTTTGAGGAAGCAGTCGTTGAGTGACAGGTTGTGGCGCACGGAGTTCCTCCATCCCGTGTAGCTGCCGCGGAAAAACGGGAACTTCTTCATCAGGAACTCGTTGATCTCTGCCAGGGTGAGGCGGCCGCTGCTGGACTCCCGGATGGCCATGGCGATCAGGGCGATGTAGGAGTAGGGGGGTTTGGGTCTGCGGGTGTACGGCTTCCCCTTGCTGCCCTCCCCGCTCTGCGCGACAGGTGCGGGGCTGTTGGCCACGCAGTCCCCGTCAGAGCCCAGCTCGTCTCCGGACAGGGGAGAGGGAACTCCCCCGTCTGGTTCCACGCACAGCTCAACCGGCTTCTGCGCAAAGTGGTGCGCTGAGAAAACTTCAAGTTTCATTTTTTGAATTCTCCCCCTCAAACGAAGAGACGTCTGTTCCTCTTGCAGACCTGCTGATGGGGAGACTTGTCTCAGCCGAGCAGGTGTCCTGTCAGATGTGGTTAGGTGCTGCAGACGCTCGCGCGGAGCCTCAGCGTGGAGCTGCAGAACACAGATCTGTCTCCCGAGACACGCGAGTCGTCCTATAATATAATGCCTGCGCGAGGGCGGGCTCACGGGCGGGGTTTCCACCTCCGGATCCATTGAAGCGACTGAGTCATATGGTTTATGTATGTTCACGGCTGCACGCTGCCATGCAACAGCAGGGAGGGGTGAGGAGGGGTGAGGCAAGACTGGACAGGTAGCAAAAGTAATCAAGAGTAAATGCGCATCTGTGTTTGCAATGTGCGCCCACAACTCCCTAATGGCGCAAAAGTTACACGAAAATGAGATAAAAGAGGCAGACCTGTCACGCTTCTCTTTTCTTTTAACTCCTGTCACCCCTCACCTGAACTCCTCTGGAACGAGGAAGACAAAGAAAATACAAGAGAAGCTGAAGAAAAGATCTATTTGGATGAGTTCCACTGTGGATGATAATGCAGATCTCGGGTTAAGGAAGAAGATGAAGTGGATAAAAAATAAAAATGGGAAGAAAACGAAAGTTGACCTGAGAGGTCAGAACAAGTTGAGCACAAAAAAAAAAAAAATCTCATCCTGAGTGAAAACTGGACTCAAACTGAGAATATTCTCCCTGAATTTAATCTGAGGGGTAGTTACTTCATTGGTTTGGATCCTGGAAGGTTTTTCTGATCGAATGGTTTGTGCTTGATACAAACACTGGCTCTTATTTAACTGTCTATAAATACATTTAACAGGATTTACACCTTTTTTTTTTTTACCTGCCCATTTTACTGGTGAGGATTTGAATGACACTGAGGAGTTCAGGGCATTTATTCTGCTGTACATGAACACAAACAAACAAACATACTCTTCTGTGAATTATGCATTAAAAAAGGAAAATTCTTCATTAGATTTAGGTGTTTCAAGCAAATCCAAGAATACAAACCTTAAAAACAAACAAATTGTAAAAGTTAGCAGTGGCTTTATTATTTTTTTGCACTCATATTGAAGATAATTAGTCAAACTTTGCTTCGTTTTAATTTATACATCATTAAACAGTGAAAAGGTGACACATTATGTCTTTAAAGTTTTAAATATTTAGTCTGAGTTGTCAGATCATCTGTAAGCACATAACTAAAACTTTAGCAGCCTTTATTTAAAAAAAAAAAAAAACCTCAACCCTGTATAAAAATGTAAACTTTATGTAAAAAAAAGTGCCTAAAATGTAATTGTGCTGTTTTCTAACATTAAATCAGTGACTAAATCTGAATATGTTACTAAAACATATTCAGCTTGGTAGCGTTCTTGTTCAGTAACATTCAGTCCGACTCTTAAATAAATTTGATTCACTTTATTTGGGTCAACTGGTTCCAGAAAACCTGCTTAAACATAAAAAGTGCCAATAATTTGAAGGGTTGTCCTCAATCATTTGTTCATGGATGACAATTAATTCAAAATACTTTAAAGCCTAAAAAGTAGCTCCAATTTAATTTAAATACTCCCCTGCACCGAAGTACATGCACCTGTAAGGGAAGCGCTCTTTAATTAGCAACAAACATGACCTAATTAGCAGTGTTTGCTTCCTTGTCTCAGATTATCGCTTTAATACAACAAAACCTGCTTATTTTCATTGTTGAAATTAATAAAAAAAAAAAACTTTTAGCTTCACATAGTTTTGTAACTCGAACATAATTTCTTAAATCAAACTTATGTTACAGCCAAGTTGAATATTAAAGAGTTGGTGCAGGTTTTAGATAAACTCCCACTCCTGGATATTAGTGTCTCTAACTCCACTCCTGTCATCACCTCAGCCAGAAGACAAAGCAGACAGACGCCGTGGAGGGAACAACAGTTATGAGCCTCACGGTAGTTAAACTGTCATCTCCGGCACTCCTCTTTACTCAGCTGTTTACAAGGCCTCTGAATAATTTAACGTTCGACTCTGGAGACTCCTGTATTTGCATCAAAGTGTGAGGAATTTAGCTTCAAATGCTGAAAAGTGATAACTAAAAGAGGTAACGCCACTGTGCTGTTCTAACGGCTGGCAGCTCTGAAATGGGGATCTAACTTCGCAGCATCCCGAGCAGTTTGGTGAGACTCCCTGTTAAATTTAATCTAATTATCACCTGAGATGTTCAGGACAGGTGTGATCGCAGACAGTACACTGAAGCATTTGGGTGTGAAAGCGACAGGTTCAGCAAGGCTATGAAGGTTAACTACATGTACTAGAAGTCCCTGTTCTGTTTTTCCAGTTCGCCTGAAAGGCCCGAAGGTGCCTGGCTTCTCCGAAATGAAGCATCTCGTTTTGTTTTTGTTGTTGTTCAGACAACAGAAACAAAAACCTGCTTTAACTTTTTTTTTTTTTTTTTTGAATTCATGCTCTAAAAGGGTTTATGCAAGAACTCAAACGTGTACAAAATTGCTTAGAGGTTTATTTTGACCACACTGCTTTAACTTTGTCGTGCTTTAAATACACTTTCCTTTAAATAATCTAACTCAATTGATCCTAAATGAACTCACTGCAAACCTTGAAATCAAACATAAACGTATCATCCTGATATATCTCAGCTCATAGACGTTGCCATTGTTGACCTATTTTCAGCCGCTTTGGCTGTTTCCGTAAAGGTAAACAAACACTTGGTAGCTGGCAGCCTATTTTAAGGTCACATTAATTATCCGGCTAAGGAAAAAATATGGTTTTGTTTCTTTTTTCGCAATATTTTTGGTCCGTCTTCACAACAGTTCAACGAGTACCTTAAAAACATCTTTTGTCAGCTTATCAGCGTTTTCTGTTCCATGAACTGCTTCCTCGTCTGTCTGCAGGTTCTTCTTGTGATTCAAACCTCCCAAATGTTTCATCTGAAACTGTGGAGGTCGACTGCTGCGAGTCTAAAACCCGAGCTGAAGACAGCAGAGTCATGCGTGCTATCATTATCACCGCTCTGACAAGGTGCAGAGAGAGTCCCACACAGCTTGAATGGTGGAAGGTGTGCCGTCTTTGTGAGGTTTTTCCTTCGCAAATCTGTGATGAGGCTGTATTTAATTTCACCAACTCTGCCAAGAGGCCTATACATGCACGAGCACACCTGTGGTGAAGTGATTTGCTGTGAAAGGCAGCACACCTGTTCTCCGTTTTTTTTAATTTTCCAGGTGGTATTTAAAATCTGAGTATGAGAGACGATTTCCCTCCAGGGTATCGGAAACTTATCTCATTATCATTTTTTTCTTGGATGTTTGGATTGAACCAGATCTAAAGCCTTCATATTATCTGAGAAGTGAAAGATCAGCTTCTGCTTTAAGGTTCTGATGCACAGATGGATATACAGAAAAACACACGCACACGTGACGGCTGCGGCCATACCCAGCTATAAGGACCAATGACAACAGAGACCAAGACTCAGAATCAGTTTATAGTGTTAATGTACAATATTTTGTTTATTTACAAGGTGAGACATACGCAATAAGCCAGGGGAGGGGCTGGAACTCTGAGGAGCAGAGAGAAGGTTGGAGTCTAGGATGTCGCGGGCGATAATGATATTGCAGTTCTCTTACGTTGGTGGTTGAGGTCAGGCATGGGAGAGTAGACCCAAATGGTTCCAGGTGGAAGAGGTGCAGGTGAAAGGCAAGTGGTACGAAGGCGTGGAGGCACAGAGGAGCTTGAGATCCACCGAGGAGATTTCATGAACACAGGATATCAAAGGTAACGCGCTGGAGGCAAAGGGTAGAGTGCCCTCTCCGGGTCGGGGAGGAGGTCCTGCCCCAAGTGGAGGAGTTTTAAGTATCCTGGGGTCTTGTTCACGAATGAGGGGAAAATGGAGTGTGAGATCGATAGGCGGATAGGTGCTGCGTCGGCAGTGAAGCGGCGGCTGTACTGGTCTGTCATGGTGAAGAGAGAGCTGAGTCAAAAGGCGAAGCTTTCAATTTACCGGTTGATCTACGTTTCTACCCTCAACTATGGTCATGAGGTTTGGGTTGTGACCGAAAGAACGAGATCAAGGATACAGGTGACCGAAATGCGTTTTCTCCGCAGGGTGTCTGGGCTCTGCCTTAGAGATAGGGTGAGAAACTCAGTCATCCGGGAGGGACTCAGGGTAGAGCCGCTGCTTCTCTACATTGAGAGGAGCCTGTTGAGGTGGCTCGGGCATCTGTTTAGGATGGACGCCTCCCTGGTGAGGTGTTGGGCACGTCCCACCGGGAGGAGACCCAGAGGAAGACCCAGGACACGCTGGAGCGACTATGTTTCTCGACTGGCCTGGGAACGCCTTGGGATTCCCCCGGAGGAGCTGCCCCAAGTGGCTGGGGAGAGGGAAGTCTAGGCCTCCCTACTTAGGCTGCTACACCCGTGACCCAACCCCGGATAAGCGGAAGAGAATGGATGGAGGGATGGATGGAGAACATCAAAGGTAACGTGCTGGAGGCACTGAAAAAAGCACATCATTATTTTAGCTTGGACCACAAATAGAAGGCTAGAAGAAGACTACCATTGGCAGGTAATGCTCCAGCACTGGATGAGTGTCTTCTGAAGCCTCTTATACCCCTCATGCCCATCAAGTTGCAGGATCCCAGTTGAGGCTAATGGGAGCAGGACTGTGGGAGCAGGAGCTGGCAGAGCAGAACTCCCACAACAGAGGAGCTCAGGGCTCAGAAGAACACTTGAGAACAGTCCAGTGTTTGGTTCAGAGTCATCCCTGCATGTTTATAGCTGTATGTTTTATGTCATTATCCTGTTGAAGGACCCATGACCTGCGACTGAGTCCAAGATTTCTGTCACTGGGCAGCATTTTTGCTCCATAGTGCCTTGATTGATTTCATTGTGCACATTCAGATGCAGCAAAGCACCCCCAGAACAGAACCGAGCATCCTCCATGTCCCACTAAATGGACTGTTCTTGTATAGCACCTTTCTATTTTATCAAGATACTCAGAGCTCTTTACAACAATCTGTGCCTCATTTACCCATTCATACAGCACTCTACTAGATCTATACAAAGATTAATCAGAGCTTTATCACACACTGGAGGCAATGATGGGTTCAGCGTCTTTCCCAGGGACACTTCGGCATGTG